TAATGGTTAATCCACACAGTTGAATGTACATTTAACATATCACTGTAATATATTACTATATAATGGTTAATCCACACAGTTGAATGTACATTTAACATATCACTGTAATATATTACTATATAATGGTTAATCCACACAGTTGAATGTACATTTAACATATCACTGTAATATATTACTATATAATGGTTAATCCACACAGTTGAATGTACATTTAACATATCACTGTAATATATTACTATATAATGGTTAATCCACACAGTTGAATGTACATTTAACTTATCACTGTAATATATTACTATATAATGGTTAATCCACACAGTTGAATGTACATTTAACATATCACTGTAATATATTACTATATAATAGTTAATTCACACAATTGTATGTAAATTTGATACATCTATCCTCGAGAAGATGACTTCATTACACCGGCTTTTTTCAGTAAGGCTCGGTCTCTACAGAACACTAGAAGCCTGTCAAGAGCGTCGAATAAAGCAAAAACTATGAAGCACCAGCCACGATCTCTATTGCTTTCTTGAAACATGCGACAGTGAAACGAACTCACTTCTTTCAGAGCATGATGCAAACGGTGTTACCACATCCCCACCACCCCACCCCTATCAATCCTGAAAGCAGTACATCTTCTTCTTCTTCTTCGCGTTCACCAGCTGTAATCTCTGGCGGAAAGTTCTGGTTGTTCATCCACTTCTGGACTGCAGTCCTGTTCGAGAACCTGAGTGTTGCGTGTGCATCGGTTCACAGATCTGACTCAATTGTATGCAGACTGCTGGTTACCTGCCTCTCAGGCAGATGCACTCCGACTTTGAAGAGAGCTCCCTTTTAGTCGACTCTTACCACATGTTTTTGGGTAGGCAGTGGGTCTATTCTTGTTTTCCCCATAACAGGGCCCCGGAACCCACACGGGGAGACAACAGTACAGCATGCTACTGTATAACAGTTACTTCAGACGACTGTGTTTAAATGTAACATATCAGTTCAACATGTCATCGCTGTGTCCATGGGGGCTGCGTGGTCTCGAGTCATGGTGTCCGCCTCGAGTGCTAGAGGTTCCGAGTTCAATCCCCGGTAAGGGCTGGGATATTTTCACGTGGACTTGGACTTCTAGTAATTCCCCCTGGTCTCTGGGTAGTGAGATCGGACGCCCGTGTGCGTTGTTGCGCACATAAAATAATCCCTTGGCAGTTGGAAATCGAACGGCGCTGCCCAGGCAAAATTTGGAGTTGAAAATCTACCTAAAGTATTTTAGGATCCTTGCCTGTGCTACAGAGCCTGTGCACTGTGCTGTGCTTCTTCAAACTCAAACTTGAGTTAGAAGAAGAACAGAACACGTGTGTGTTACTATCCGTGTGCCATGATGTTGATCCGTTGTTGAAAACAACAAACCTCATGGCTGTGTCCAACGTGGTTTGTGTTGTGAACTGCAGATTCAGAAAATGGCCAGTTTCATTTTAAATGTTTTTCGACTGTCCCCAACGTGGTCTGTGCTGTGAACTGCAAAATGGATTAGACTGTTGCCAGAGAACTAATAGTGCCGTATGCGATTAATTACGTGTGCATTCACTGATTTGTTGAAACTGCTGCTTTCGTGGACTATGAACTGCATTTCTAGTGTCGGACTATGTTTGTGCTGGCACTTCTGGCGGCTGCCTTTGGCATCTATTGCACGTGTATGCTTTTGAATTTGCTAAAACTGCAGTCTGTGCCAATTGTTTTTATAAATGACACTTTTGAACATTTTTGTTTGACTTTTTATGGCACAGAGGCGGAGCAACTTTGGGGTGACCCGTTTGATGTTAAGTTGGAACTGCGATAACTTGATTACATTACCTCACAATGGTTACTTCCCAATCACATACACACACACACACACACACACACACACACACACACACAGGTGTGTATATAACTTCCTTTAACAATGCTGTACCACCTGCTCAAATGTAATGTTTACTTTACATCATTGTACATCTAACTTAATCTCCAACATCTGGCTAGTCCGCCACAAAAACGTAAACAACCACGTACTAACCTCCACACATTTTCTTACATGTGGGAGAAACCACAGCAATAAACAAAAACAGTTAACACCCAGTTTTTCCACGTCTGTCAGCCAATTTACCTTTCTGTTGTACCAAACATTCGAAACCCGGCTAAAAGAGTGGCGTTATTTCTAACTGCTTTCTGTAACCGGAACGTGAATGCCATCTTGTGGGACAGGAGATGTATTGATGGATTCAGTCAGATGTCAAGTGCTATACCGACTATCATTACTGCGTTAGGGTCAAATGTATCTGCAGTTAGGTGCCATAAGGTAAGTTGCGTATCCTTTACAGGACGTTGCAGAACCAACCTTAACAGCCCCTGGCTGTTGTGTGGGTTTTCTAGGCAAATTTACGTCTGGTAGTTTGCCATTGCCTCTAGGCGGTCGGCTTTCTTGATACCACTGTCGAAACCAACGCAAGGCGCATAGCCCGCAGATGGGATCGAACTCGGTATCCCGACATTACGAAGCGTTCGCATCGACTTAGCCACAAAGCCGACAGGTGCCATAAGAGACGTATGAAATGGCCGGTTCATTCGGGGAGCTGGGTGGTGAGTGTCTAGACGGCTACCGACCTGCCCCAATCTCTTGGGTTCAAGTCCATGTCAAATCGGATGTACCGTGATTTAATTTGTCGTCTGCCGAGAGCCTCAGTCGGTTTGTGTGTAACCCATGACTTCCTTCAATTTCAGTGCTTCCTGGGCAGATTACATCGCATTTTGAACTGTTCATTTGGTACCTGTCTCTAGAGCGGGTCTAAAGACTCGCGCAGCATCATCACGAGTCTTACCTTGGTGACTTTAAACTCTTTAGTTACTGATTTGAACGGCAGTACCAGCTTAGCCTGTTCGCAATAGAGAACCATGTTGGCCAGACAATGCGGCGCTCCAAGCCATTTCCTCATGCCTGTGTTGATTTTTTCCCTCTATATTCTCGGCTTCAGTCATGCTCACCTCGTATACGAGCAGCGGCCAGAGGAGTGTTGGAATCAACACGAACAGTAGGCACCAGACCTTAAACTTCTTATCAGCCTGCATCGCTCTATAGCAGGCAGGCCTGTTGCCAGTGACTCGAGCATACGTCGGACCTCCGCTCTATGAAATAACTTCGAATTGTAGGCGCGGCCTAGTCTGTTCGTCGGTTTCTCTAGTGGAACCGTGGGGATCCTTTTTCTTGCCACTGTGAAACGGGTTGCCTCTACTTTACCCTTAAGGGTTGACAAACTTCTTGATTTCTGCGATATGAACTGCACGCCACACTATTCGAAAACGCCGTCCAACCTCTTCAGAATCGTGCATGCATCATCCTCACTGCCCGTTATGATAGTCGTGTCATCCATAAATGTATACAGTGGCGGCATCCACTGATCCCCAATCTAAAGAACTTGTCCGTGGCCGGCAGCCCCGTCTAACATGACCTGCATTGCTATTACGAACAGTATTGGCGAAATCGTACATCCGATTGCTCTCCCAACCTGGAGCTCAGTCCATCTCGTAGTAGGTAGGAGTAGAGAATCGTATGGCGAGCTTTGGGAAATATTGCTGGATCATTTCGGTGATCTGTATCATCAGTACGTGGAACATGCGAAGGGCCTGCCATATTAGCTAATGGGGTACCGCCCCGTTGGCGAGATCCAACCATATCACATGCATTGGGTTCTCTATGCCTTAGATCTCTGGATACTCTTCCAGATCAAGGCCACATGCTCGAGCCACCCAAGGACGCCCCATATTCCACCTTTCTGAACCGCTGTGTCAATGTATTTGTTCGCCATCAAATACTGTGTGAGCCATAACCGAGAAGAATATTTTGCCCTCAACGTTCAACAGCAAAATAAGTCTGAATTGGGATAGACTGGAGAAGTCTCATTCCTTGGGAATGTGACACCGTTGGCTCTCACCATTCCGTACATTTGTGCTTTCGGCTGTGGAGCATTCGGAGGACTTTCGGACAGCGTTTACACACCACATACGGTACACCGTTGGGTCCTGGGGCAGATTTGCCGCTAGCTCTTTTCACAACTTCTTTGACCTCTTTCGAACTCTGACCAAGAGGGGGCATTGCTTTGAACGGTGCCTTGGGCAACTCAGGCATCTTCATGCCACTGGTGATCTCTGGGTTGTCATCGAGAGGTTTATTCCTTATCCGATCGAAGTACATCTTCAGAAGATGTGACTCCAGTTCCTCTTTACCAACCACCATAGTCCTAGACTTTGGTTGCTTGGAAAGGCCTCGGGAGAAATGGAACGGATCCTTAAAGAACTGCTCTCGCCCCCTTTTGGTTCTTTGTCTATTTCTACAGACTCTCAGTGCAACAGAGGACACTGTGTCTAACCTTCAGGTGCAACCAGACCTCGTACAATCCCTCCCGTTCGCTGCCTTTAGCGGCTTTGAACGTTTTCTGAGTGCGTTGTTCTCTGTTCGGCGCTTCTCGATGTCTGTCTCCTGTTTTTTTCGGGCGTGAAGCCCGGCTGCGTCTTCTCGACTTTCCCGAACTCGCGGGCACAGTGCGTGTAAATTATATCACCAAACCATATTAGCTTATCACCTAGCGACTTTTTCCTAAATTCACCAATAATTTTTCACAAAGTTTACCTTCCAGCTTGCACCACGACACTTGATCTTCGTCGGCACTAGAAAGAAATGTATCGCTAATCCCGCACTTACTGCGGCTTTCACCTGTTTTCCACACTGTACAACTTTCTAGACTCACAGTGGCCTATATGCAACCTTCGTATCCATAATCATTGATATTTACTACTTTTGGTGAAAAAGTGGTCCTCCTCACTCGTGATGGACCAACAACATAGTCCTGTACGAGTAAAGACAATTCAGGTGACACGGATGTGCATGCTTGTATAATCTTGTAACCATGAGAACTTACACTCTATAAACTCGTGCTGTTCTGTTATCTGTCTTCTCCACACGCTAGCATCAGCTCAGGGCGACATGAGGTTCACAGTTCAGCCCAGCAACAGATCGGTGGCCGAAGGATCGGTGGCCATTCTAAACTGCACCGTGGCCAAACGAGTGGGCGATGTCCAGTGGACCAAGGGTGGCTTTGGTCTCGGCGTGGACAGAACTTTGCCGGGATTTGACAGATATACAGTGATAGGCGTGGAACAGAAAGGAGTCATAAGTAAGTGGTGTCTTCTTTTTCCTGTGGCGTTGACTGTTCTAACATTTTTTTTATTTTTTATTTATATGTATGTTTCTGTCGTCTGTCGTTTGATGTACAAGATAACCTTTTTTCGTAACAGTTATTTTCGCACACATGCACACACACACACACACACACACACACACACACACACACACACCAACACAGTTCCTAGGGCATACTATTTTGTGGCCCGCCTCTCTGGATTCATGCAATTCTGTATGTTTCGGACAATTCCAGCTCAAATATCATGGATTTAAAATCCTAATTTCTGCATGCGTACCCGTAGCATCTGTAGCGTTTAATGTTCCAAACGTATTAGTGTTACCTTTCCTTTAGAGTAAATACAGCGGGCCAAGAGAGATCATGATGTATAGACAACACACGGTTTCTATCAAACTGCACAGGCTGGGTGCTAGGAAAAGATCCCACTCGCCTTATAAATAACTCCCGCACCCCCTCAGAGCACAATAAGAAGAAACTCCACAGGGGAGCATGTACAGCAGGAGTCTACCAATCATCAGTGGAAGTAATCTCTAGTCGACAAATGTTTCGGCCCACTAGCTCTTAGACATTTTCAGAGAGTGGGCCCACCTGAGTTCGTGAAGCTCAGGGTTGGTTTCTCCTGCTGCACGTATTACTGGATGTTCTCGGACAGGGACAAGACGAAATGGTGACTTTGCAAAAGGTACTGTGAGATAAGATATATATATAGCATTATCTGAAAAGACGGAAAGGTGCGTGTCAGTTACTTTGTATGCCTAAGTGCTAGTCCTTCTACTTGCGTGCCTATCTGCTTCTCTATCGGCATTACTGCTTGTCTTTCTGCCGAAAGTCTACCTCTATGCCTGTAATCAGGGCCGTATTTAGGCCCGTTCAGCTTCACAGGGCGGCACAGTTTTGACGGCGGTCACATATAACTCGTAGTTTTAAAATGTTAATAATTAAATTGCTTGTGTCACTATGACGCAGTCATTAGATGGGCTTCTGGTATCAAAATAGTATGCAACTGTTACTAACATCGAGCAGAGAAGATGTAAAGTGACTACGGAGAGGCGACATACCTCCTAAATATGACCTTTCCTATAAGTCTAATTACCTGTCTATCCACTTAACTTGCGTGTTCCTTTTCCTGTCTACCCTTGTTTTATATGGGTAATCTCTTTATGCATTCAAACACAGACACGTTCATCTCTCTGTCGTCTTGCATGCTTTCTGTTTATACATACACGCTTGTCAGCAGGCTTAGTCCTGTTACAAGTGTTTTAGAGGCGTTCAACGTTCAAGCGACCTAGGTGCTAAAGAATAATAATGTACCAAAGGGAAAAAAAATAATAATTTCTTTCATATTTTTGGGGTGACAAACTATACATTGTACTGTTTATTGTCAGGCATATTTCGCTGTAGTTCGTCCGTTGCGTTACTACAAAACATATAATTATATACAAAAACAGAATAAATTCTACTTAGATGCGAATGGTCAACTCAGTGCATCGTGCTCGACTAGCTGCCGAAGTTCACCATAGTCACGTAATTTACCATGGTATCTTTAAATTGACTATGAATTCTTTCTGCTTACATAAGAAATTTGTTTTTATTATTTTTTTAAATAATAGAATATATTAAACAAAAACCTAAAAGGAAAACTTCATTACATGATTGCAAATGGAAAGAAGGGGGACGGGGTGGCAGCTTAGGTCTTGTACAAACTTACGGGACCCTCATCCACCCTCCCCCGCCTGATCTTTTGGACTGGTCGGGGCCTCAGTGCTCCTAAACCCCCAGTTCCGGTGTCCTTGTGAGTCAGTGGGTCTGTGTATCGCCAGCCGTATATTTATTTATCAGTGCATACATTGGCTTATCTGTCCTGCCTGCCTGCAAATAGACATGTGCTAACAAGCATTCAACCGGCTGCGTGCAAGTTTTTCAACCCTCGTGTTTGTTCTTTAGTTTCCCCCCTAACACGCTCGCCCTTCTGCTCGCTATCAGTAATCGTCCATGCCAGAATCTGGCATAGGTCGTGCATGACACAAGCATCTTCCACAAGTCTCATACTTGAAGCTTTGCCAGTTGGTATAAACGAAAGTTCTGGCAATTGAGCGGGCGGGCAAAGGGAGTCAGGTTGAGATCGCGTATCTGTGTCATTAAAGTAAACTAAAAAAAAAAAAAAAACCTTCTAGCTGTTTGCTATTCTAGCAAAACTGTCATATCAACTCTGCTAAAAGAGAAGCATAATTTTATAGTGCATTATTTTATAAACAAGCTAGACACGGGTATATTTTTCTGTGGCATAATAAAAATAAATAAGTTTGTTTCTTATTTGACCTACGTTTATTCGCTAGCACTAGAGTTCGAAAACAGTGTTACGACGAATCTTTAGACCTATCAAAGAAGCAAACTGCGGGGAATGGAGAGTGAGAAGCAAAATCACCACTGCTTCTTCTTCTTCTTCTTTCGTTCGCCTCAGGGCGAGCACCATAACGTTTTGCTGATTTAGACATATTTCCATGGCGTGTGTGCGTGGCATTCTGATTGCTGTGGTGCGCCTCCTGGCTGGTTGCCTCCGACTTCAGCACCTTGTTTTGCTAGGGTAGACTGTGATCATACTCGAGGAGAGTAGGCTCATCCATTCGTCTTTCAACTTTACCTCGTTTGTTGTCCCATCCAGTTTCCCGCTGGGGGTTGAGACCCCAACCTTCAACTGGATTGCTGGGAAGAACAGGGTCCACCATGTGTAGGTAGGGTAGGCTTGAGCAAGAGAGGCTAATAGACATTAAGAGCCTTGTATTGCGCATGATTGCTTCATTAGGACCACTGATCACTGGCATCATGAGAGCTAATAGACGGAAATGGTTGGAGCATATTGAGAGAATGTCAGATGACAGAGAAGTAAAAACTCTATACACAAGGTAGATAATTGTCGTAGACCACGAAGCAGACCAAGAAGACGATGAAGAGATAACGTCCAGACAGACCTGCAAACACTTGGTATTACCAAATGGAAAGAGAAGGCCAACCAGAGAGATGAATGGAGGTTGGTGACATCTGCAGCAATGAACCTCAAGGGCTCGGAATACTGAAGAAGAAGAGACTAGAGTTCGATTTTCGCGGTGGTAGGCGGTTTAGAAAAGAAGGACAAAATACCTTACTCGGAATAGAAGGACAAAGAATCTTCTACATCTTCGCGTTCACCGGCTGTAAGCTCAGACGGAAAGTTCTGGTTGTTCATCAAGTTCTGGACTCTAATCTTGTTCCAGAACCTGAGTGTTGCGTGTACATCCATTTCATAGTTCTGGCTCAATTACATGCAGACTGTTGGTTCCTTGCCTCTCAGGTAGATGTACTCCACCTTCGAAGAAAGCCCCAAATTTGTTGTCATGCTTTTTAGCATGCAGTTGATCTGTTCCTGTTTTCCCCACAACTGGACCCCGGATCCCACACGGGAAGGACAAGGAATGCAAATACCATCTGTGAAGAAGTTTCTCCTAAAAACAAAATCGAAGATAATAATTAACTATTATATTAAGGAACTATTAAGTCCAACATGTTAATGACACAATGTTAATCAGATTGTCTAATTAATTATTGTACAATATCTATTATAATCTAACCCAAAACAAAGCAATATGTGAAAAAATACAAATTAGATATCGGTCATATAAACAATTACAGGATATAGAAATATAAAATAATACATATGTACTCTAAGAACTAGATGAACATTATATAGTCTGCTGTTCTTCCATCTCTTGCTGTTGTCCTCCTACTTGTCTCGGTGTCTACCTCTTGATTTCTTGCCTTGACCTTTCCCTCCAGTATGGTTTTTAAAATGAGTGTAATTTCATGTAATGTGGCCAAATATTTCAGTTGTCTCTTTTTTTCTAAATCCTTTCAATAACTCTCTTTTCATTTGCAGACGGTCCAGAGCCTCTGTATTTGACTGTTTTTATTTCTGTGAAATACAGCCTTTTCTTTTATATGTCCCTATTTCCAGAGAGCCAGTTTGCTTTTCTAGTTGTCTGTTTATTGTCCAAGTTAATCTTTATTTTTTTATTTTTTTTAATTGAGTATAAAGTACAGTTCTAAGATATGATTTATATTCTCTTTCTTCTCAAGATGAATCAAATCTACTGATTCAAGATATGAATTGCCTTCTCTCCCCTATTTGGGTGACTATAATCTACAGATAAAAAATATAAATTATATGTTCTCTTATAAGGAGAATATATGATAAATGGATCTAAGATGTAATATATTTTATCTTTTTTCCTTCTTCAGGTGAGTACAATCTACAGATTCAAGATGTAAATTGCCTTTTCTTCCCCGTTTAGTCAAATATAATCTACAGGAACGACACCTTGTACTAGATTCATCGAGAAACAGCAGATCAAGTGGTTTTTCCATCTCGTTAGAATGCAGCAAGATCAAATATCATCACAAGCACTACATCTCAGAAGATCAACTACAAGAGCCAGAGGACGGCCACGGAAAACATGGATCGACAACACTGGATCACAAATTATTTCTCCCAACGATGCCTAACGGCAGAAGTGGTTTATGATGATGATGATCATAATCTACAGGAGCAAAATTTAAATTACATGTTCTCTGTTTAGGAGAATATATGATCTATGAATCTAAGGTGTAATATATTTTATCTTTTTCTCCATTCAGGTGAGTACAATCTACAGATTCAAGATGTGTCAATAGATGACGAGGACTGGTACGAGTGCCAGGTGCTCGCATCTGAGGACTATCCACGAGGATTAAGGAGTCAGCGAGCCTTTTTATCTGTGATTGGTGAGTTCAGTAACTGGTTTTTCCTTCATTAGTAATGTTCAAAATTTATCCAGTTCTAGGACTGTCCATAAAGTTTATTGAGTTATGAGTTAGATTATCTTCACAGCACTCCGGACACATCCATAGGTACTCAGATTTCCCTCTCAACATATTCATCAGCGTCGTGCGGTTGATAGTACCAATCCTATGTTGGTTAACAAGACTTTGTGTGCGTCCAGTGTGCTTCTCATGCTTGGCTGTGCCGATCTTTACTCCCAATTAATGTATTCTTAGAAGTGATGTGGACTCGTTGCTTCCAAAATCCTCAGAACGTCCTATCTCTCTAAGGGCAATGACAATGTCTGCGTGATCCATGGGCTGGCCATCTTCAATTAATGCCATAAAGTTGTTTTTTAAACCCATAAAGTTTAATATTGTTCTAAGTGAACTAATGTGGGACCCTTAAAATGGGTACCAGATATTGTCCTGGGAAGTAAAGGTGGAGTGATGTAAACACATCACTCATTGAGTACTAATAGGTCTATAAAATATAGATCTAGCAATATATACCTGATGTGCAGAAAGAAAGATCTTGGGTTCAAAGCCAAACTGGCGCAGACATGTATAGTTTAGCTGGTCTTCCAGTTATAATGTGTATTAAACATGGCCTGATAAGTAAAGGCGACCACCGTGATGTTGACCTCATCACCCACCTAGTGCTGGCTGATCTGTAAGATTTTGGATCTAGCACCATCTGTTCCATGCACCACTGGCTTTTGGAATGGCATCCTTAACGTACCAGAATATCATACTGTCCTGCAAGTTTCTATAGCAAAAAGTTTTTGTTTTTAAACAAGATGGGGGAAGCTGGCCCCACACCCATCCATCCCTCTTTCTCAATCGGGATTGGGATCGGCAATGGTGGAGATTTTAATAATTGTATGATATGACAAATCCGGACTGCTTTCATTTGTCAACAATGCACATGATGATAATTAGATGATCGACTGAAACACATAAAATAATGTTGCATGAGACAGTTTTGAGATTGTGAACCCATATTCACTGTTACTTATTTCAGTACCACCTGAGCGACCATCCATTACTGGAGCTCCAACCATTCCAGTGGTCTTACATACACCAACTAACATCACGTGTAGGGCAGACAAAGGTATCTTAAAGATTTGTTTGTGTTTCTGAGGGTTTTCCCCAATATAATTATTTGTGATTTCATCCTGCATCCAATGTTGTTTTTCCTTGCTTTGTTTGTTGGCAATACTGTCTTCTGTTGGCAATACTGTCTTCTGTTGGCAATAATGTCTTCTGTTGACAATACTGTCTTCTGTTGGCAATACTGTCTTCTGTTGGCAATACTGTCTTCTGTTGACAATACTGATTTCTGTTGGCAATACTGTCTTCTGTTGACAATACTGTCTTCTGTTGACAATACTGATTTCTGTTGGCAATACTGTCTTCTGTTGGCAATACTGTCTTCTGTTGGCAATACTGTCTTCTGTTGGCAATACTGTCTTCTGTTGGCAATACTGTCTTCTGTTGGCAATACGGTCTTCTGTTGGCAATACTGTCTTCTGTTGGCAATACTGTCTTCTGTTGGCAATACTGTCTTCTGTTGGCAATACTGTCTTCTGTTGGCAATATTGTCTTCTGTTGGCAATACTGTCTTTTGTTGGCAGTATTGTCTTCTGTTGGCAATACTGTCTTCTGCTGGCAATACTGTCGGATTGGAAAAAAATATAGCAGAAGGCATGGTACCTGAAAGGAGGGGCAGGGGCTGACCGACACGAAGATGGGCACCGGATATAAGTGACTCCTTGAGTGTGAAAGTATATGAGGCGGGAGAACTGCAGAGAGACCGAGTTTCTTTCAGGCAGACTGTGATGAGAGTGACGTTCTGTAAAGGACCTGCTACATGATGATGATGATGACGATGATGATGACTGTCTTCTGATGATATCGATTTTCTGGTTGTTCATCTTTTTCTTATTACTGCACCTTCTCTGTTTCTTTTGTTTTCTCTCTCTCTCTCTCTCTCTCTCTCTCTCTCTCTCTCTCTCTCTCTCTCTCTCTCTCTCTCTCCTCTCTCACACACACACACACAACCCACCCACCCACCCACCCACCCACCCACACCACACACACACACACACACACTTACACACACACTCACACACACACACACACACACACACATATATAATATATATATATTATATATATACATATACATATATATATATATATATATTATATATATATATATATATATATAATATACTTATACACTCATTTCCACTCAAACACACACTCTCTCTCTCACTCGCTCTCTCACACACTATCACTTTCTGTCTTGTTCTCCTATGTCGCTCTATCTATATCAGTGTCTCTCTCTCTCTCTCTCTGACTGTGTGTCTAGCACACACATGCTGTTACTCCTCAACCCCTCTTTCCCCATCCCCTTATTCCTGTCTATTTATCTATATCTCTAGATCACTTTGTTGTTATTTAGTGGTAATATTATTGTTTTCTCATCCATATGATTGATTGTTCTCTTAATATATCCTATCCATTTTTTTTTTCTGGCATGAGAGAAGGATAATAGAAAAGGTTTTTGATCCTTTGTATAGCCATTCCTGTCAGGCTTCTGAGGCCCCATCGTATGGCACATACAGCACAGCTAATCTGTGTGCTGATATTTTAGGCATAAATGTTTAATTACTGTCTTTATATCAGTTTGCACGTGCACACACATGCGCACACATACAACACACACACATACACACACACACACACACACAGTAGTAGTTTTCTAATAAATCGCTGGCACCTCTCCATCTTTTCCAGATGATGATGTTGTTATAAGTTGTGAGAGGCAGGTATGGGAATCACAGCTCAAGGTTATGGCCAGTGCACCTAGCTTCTTCTTCTTCTTCATGAAGTTCCCTGGTTGTCAGCTTTGACTGAAAGTTCTGGTTGTTCATCCACATCTGGACTTAAGTCTCATTACAGAGCTTGAGTTTTGTATAAACATCCATTTTACAGATCTGGCATATTTGAATGCAGACAGTTGGTTCTTTGCCTCTAAGGCAGATGCACTTCAGTTCAAAGAAAAACACCCTCTAATCATCGACTTTTACAACATTTCTATAAGGGAGCAATAGGTCTATTCTTGATTTCCCTACAAAGGACCCCTGGAACCCACACTGGGGAGTGGCACTAGCAAGACTCTGTCACATTAAGAACAGTTTTTCACAATTAGAGAAAAAGGTGTTTTTTATACACTCAAAGTTAAATTATAATTAAGATTAACATTTTATAGCTTACATATTTTAAATTGCAGGGAAACCAGGAGCTCACATCACATGGCACTTGGATGGTCAGAAACTGACTCATGGTGCCAATACTTACACACAGCCCCGCGGGAAGTACTTCGACACCATTGGTGTGCTGACTTTCAATGCCACATTGGCTGACGCAGCGAAAAGGATTGAATGCCAAGCAATCACAAATTTGATGGAATCCCCGTTTAGGACATATGCTACACTTGATGTTCAATGTATGTTCCAATTTTTTGAGAATTCTGTAAACATGTTTTTTTTTTTTCTTTTAAATTTATTTTAATCTCTTTTTTTATCATTATAACTGAAAAGTTAACTCTTTGAGTCCCCGGTGGTTTAGCATCAGAGGCCCAAGGGTTAGTCAAAGGAGATGTAGAATTGGCGATCTTGCGTTCATTGGGCCTCTAGGCGGGAACCTATGAACGTATGATTAATACACAAGCAGATGTAGATGTATCCAACAGGATTGAATGCCAGACAACACACAAATGTTGTTGAAACTGTGTAGGTTATTTCTTATGAGTGTAAATAAATGCTCTTTTACTTAGCTTTGCTCAGATCTGATCTCATCAAAAGAGAATTGTTTCCAGATGTTGTCTGCGATTAAGATAAAAATATCTGAAACATTCTTCTGTAGTTTTGTTGGATTTTTACACTATTTCTCATTATTATAACTGACAGATTAGTTCAATTTTAATTGCTATTTTTGTATTACCAATTTAGATCTTGAGACAACTATTATAATGGATACAAGAATATCTTCATCATTGAGTTTTGAATGTAGAGTTTCTATTTATTGTTTCTTGGCACGGTCCACGCTTATGTATTTGTTAAATTGTATGAAACCTCATGTTTAACTCTTTGAGTCCCAAGGAACACATCATACGTTCATGGCTTCCAATTTTATGACTTTATTTACTACCCCCTGGGCCTGTGATGCTAAACCCCCCTGGGACTCAAAGAGTTAAGACATCTACTTTTCAGTTTCCTACAACCACTGACCATTAAGATTCATTTTCATTCTTCCTTTACCTTCACTGTTCCTTTCTTAGCCATATTTATGCTTCCCTTTACCTCACGCAATCCACTCTGTATAGTTAGTTAGTTGCATTTGTTATACTGGACACCAGCTAGTCACATCATTTGTTGTTAGCTTGTGATTTTACTAGGCAGTTATAAAAAAATAAAAAGTAAAGATCCCTTTTTACGCCTAGGGCGCATCGGGCATATGGGAAGAGCACCCCATATTTTACAGACCAATCGGCATTAGGTTGGTAATGTGGTCAGCAATACGCCGGTCATCTTTATTTCCCCAGGACATATATCCTGGTACCCATTTAAGGCTGGGTCGACCTGCAACCCCCCATACGCAGCCAGCAGTGGGTTTCAATAGCAGCACATTGGAATTACAAACTAGGCAGTTAAAACTTCAGTAATTTGTCATTGCCTGGTCAGTGCTCATTACCATTGTTGTAATTAATGCAAAGTAGACTGCTGCTAAATTCCCTGCAGCAGGATTGAATTCAGTATGTCAGAATGATGAAACTGCAAACATAACTCCCAAATCACAAACATCAACTTAAGTTAAAGTTTAGAGGATCGACTTCATTGTTTCAGATTTTATCCCATACAGCTTGGTGTCTCTCAGCAGAATGGCTATCTGCCTGCTGAGATGTCACACAAAGCATGGACACCGTAGCTCTCATGATGATCCCCATGGGTCTCCGTAAAAATTGCACTCATAAACCAAATGATGCAATCATGAAATAAAACCACAACCTGCTGAGTCAAACAGCTTGAACACTTTGCCAAAGAAATCCCTGAAACATCAACTTTTCTTTAGTACGGTTAATTATTCTTTCATCTGCAATATTCCTCCCTTCCAAACTATCCACAAATTTCTCTCACTTCACACAGTCATTTCCCTTTATTATTATTTATTCTTCTTTTATCTTTTATGCTGTAACCTTTGCTGATTCTTATTCCAAACATTCTACTTTCGGTTTCCTTCCCGTTACTTCTGATTTCAGAATGGTTTTAATTTTGACCATGTACAATTTACGATTTCAGTTGCCCCTGATTTGAGAATGGTCCTAAATGTTACCGGCAGAAATATCAGGGAACATGATTATGTGCAGTTCCATTGTCAGGTTCATGCAAACCCTGCAACTGTTGAGTGGAGGTAAGCTGCTGTGTTTAACTCTTTCGGTACCAAATAACATCCAAGTAGCTTGTGATGTGTGATTGGCACTCCTGTGAACCCCACCCTGAATTATAATGTACTTTAGATCATCAGTGCTGGTTTTATAGAATAATTTGATAGTATTTGAATTAACAATTGTATTTTTCTTCACAGTTTGACACGTATTACATTTTTGTGATTTATATATCATCATCATCAGGTGCCTTGCCGACTGGCGTGGGCGATCATGCCTCTCCATAGTCTGCGATCTCCTGCAGCATGTATCAGTTTGTGTGCCGACACACCTCCATGCCATGCAACAAGACTGTCAAGCATCTTCTCTCGTTATCTTCCTCTATCCCTCCTTCCATAGATCTTTCCAGTGGTCACAACATGTTCTATTTTCCCTCTTCTCATAACATGGCTGAAAAATGATGACTGTCTCCTTGTGATGTCTGTGATAAGTTGTCTTCTGGCTTCTGCTATATTTATATATATATTATATATATTTATATATATTTGGAGACTGTGGAATTAAATTAAATGTAAATGTACTTCTTGTTCTCCTTGCCAGGTGGTATCGAAATGATCACCCTATCAAAGATGCTGACTCAGACACTTATTACGTTCTGGCCATCAGTCCTGACTACCACAATCATAAAATTTCCTGTGAAGCCACCAATTCTATTGGTAGTTCGAGAGTGGATAAAATTCTGAATGTGGAATGTAAGTGGGATAATGTAAATGTTTTATTATATCAGCTTTTTTCAGTCCCCAGCAATGTTTTATTTATGTTGGACCCTTCACCATGAAATCCAATCATAGTGCAGCGTGTTCATATGTATTTCACATTTAGTCAGAGTACAAAAGAAACCTGGCTTCTCTCAGTGGCCATATCTACTGTATATTTAATGTGTACAAGTTATAAAGTTAAGAGTTCTCCTTTTAGGTGTATGCTGCAAAACCTACTGGGACTGAAAGAGTTAAGTGGTTGAAGTAAACTAGTTATAACTTCATTTTTAAATATGATTAGCATAAGTTAAATAGGTGTTTAGCAGCCATTTGGTCAGTTAGTTAGTTAGTTATTTAGTTAGTTAGTTAGTTAGTTAGTTAGTTAGTTAGTTGGTTGGTTGGTTGGTTGGTTGGTTGGTTGGTTGGTTGGTTGGTTGGTTGGTTGGTTAGTTAGTTAGTTAGTTAGTTAGTTAGTTAGTTAGTTAGTTAGTTAGTTAGTTAGTTAGTTAGTTAGTTAGTTAGTCAGTTAGTCAGTTGACAGATCATGAAACATTGAAGAGAGGAGGGGGGGGGGGGGGTAGTCAAAGAAGAGGAGGACAAAGAAGAAAACTGAATGACAACATAAAGAAATTGACATGACTAAGTTATCATACACTTATTCATCAAGTGGAAGACAGAGAAAGATGGCAGGTTTTGTGTGTTAGTGCTTACACTGATATTGGTTCAAGGGCTGTGTTATGACAGATCATCCTCATTGTACATTGAACCACTCAATCAATACATGCTCGGATCTCTCTCCTCAGTATATCCCTCAGCGTGTAGTGGGTGACAACATCTGTTCTTTGTTTTTATTGTTTCTTTATTTGAAGTACAGTACTCTTGTCTGGCCTCATCCCCCCCGCCCCCCCCCCCCCTTTTTTTTTTTTACTAATTTGTTTGTGGGGGGGGGGGGTGTCATGGTTTCAGATTCACAGTCATTCACACAAACCTGGTATTTCCTGTTGAATATTCAGTATATCAGTCTGGTCCATTGCTTGAGAGCCTACCACAGTAGCCCTCTCCCCAAACCTGTCAGCTTGTTTATTCTCTTTTACACCTGCAAACCTAGTACAGAAATAAAACATCTTTTCAGCTATCATTGCATCAGAGATTCCAACCACTGCCTTTGAGCCTAGCCAATCTCTGTCTTCTTCAGCATACTTATTAAGTCACTATGAAAGCACACCTGAGTGAGTGTCTGTGTCTCCAGCTAGACCATTGCTCTAGCTTTAAAGGGTAAAGTCGGGAGATGTGAACCAGAGTCATTGCACACGGCTAAAAACCATAGGTGCTTTTCTACCAGTAAGGACAGCTGATAAGTAACTGTCCGCCTGTGTTGCAATCAGCACGAAACTCCGTAGATACAGCAATGTTTCTCTGTTAACTCTGGCACCCATTTCCTAGATGCTGGGTGAACCTCGGGAACTGCCTGCTCTAGCTTTTAGAGTTATTGTGGCCTGGTTGTTAAGTATCATCTCAGTGATTATTTACAATTGAAACGTTTTATTTATCTATTTGTCAATTTTGAGGCAGCCTTCTACTATTATATGATTGATGTGTTTACAGATGGTCCAAGAATACGGGACATCACAGAAGTAGTTGGTGCAGACATAGGTCTTCCCACCGAACTTGTCTGTATGGCAGATGGTAATCCTGAACCAAACGTAATATGGAGACGTAAAGACAGGACCACATACACTCACCGTACACTATCCACCAAGAAAGTATACCGTATAGAACGTGTCAATGACCAGGATTTTGGGTGGTACGTGTGCACAGCTACTGTCATAGGATTTCCAGACACCAGCAGGGAAGCCATGCTCCTGAAAAATGGTAAGAAAGATATGCCAAAACAAAATAAGTTTAAATTTAAAGTGGATTGAAATGTCAGAGATTCTCTGGATTATTAATAATTATTATAAATAATTCAAAAGTTGTGTGTCCTTTACAGGATGTTGCAGAAACAACCCCAGGATTTTTTTGGCTGTTGTCGTTTTTTTAGGCAAATTTCACATTCAGCAGTTTGCCATTGCTTTCTGAATGATCAGCCCATGGTACTACTGTCGAAACTAATGCAAGACGCTCTGCTGTCAAATCATCCCCAGCTAGTGTCTGACCTGGCACCCTGGGGTTACAAAACGTGTTCACAATGCCTAAGCCACAGACGCCAACATATAATAATTATTATACTATTATGGAAAGGTGGCCCCTTTTTTATCTTGTGAGTGTGTGCATGTGTGCGGGTGAGTGTGTATGTTTTAAGCTAATATTTGTCTGCAGTGTATGTGTATGCACACCTAAAATGTATATGTGTCTGTATATGTTAACATGTACATAAGTATATTTGGCTGTGTATGTGTTTTTGCTTGGTGTGTGTGTATGTGCGCGCGCATACCTAGGTTTATGTTTGCATGTGAGTCTGCAGGTGGCTGTGTTTAATTTCGTGTTTGTATGTATACATGTGTCTAAGTATGTCTGAATGTGTATGTACATGTATATTTATGAATGTTTATGTACATACTTACTGCTTACATATTTATGTAGGTGTGTGTGTATGTATATGCCATTATGGATTAATGTGTCATACTATGCTTTTGTGTTTGCAGTGTGTATTCATATTATGTATATTGCCAAATGAACCTAACTTGTGTTTATCATAAACAAGAATTTATATTTTTTTTAGTTCAGTTTTAAGCGATGGATCAACATCAAGGCACAAGGATAATAACCTATAAGTGCTCAGTTCTAACTCAAGCTTGAGTCTGAAGAATCTCAGCACAATGCATGAACTCTGTAGCACCGGCGAGGATTGTGAAGTACTTTGGATAGATTTTTAATTCCAAATGTTTGCTCGAACAGCGCCATAAGGCTACTCTTTTCAGTTTCCAACTGCCAGAGGATTTTTTTATGTGCACAATGATCGATATGTGAAAGACATTGTTGGAAGAACCAACTGTGACCCGGGTCTGCATGCTCAGTTTAGGGCTCTTTCTTCTTCTTCTTCTTTCATTTGCCTGAAATAAGTTGTCTATATCAGCAATTTTGTCTCTCGTAAAAATTTCACTGTCGTTGTTAGTTCATTCAGTGGTCCATAGAGTTTACATTCCACTGTTGTTCTTCCTGGTCAAAAGTTTTGCCTTAATGTGTCAAATTCGGTGCAGTCCTGGAGTTCATGCTCTGCTGTCTGGGGCACCTTTGCCCAGGTGCACATGACTGATGCGCCTATCTTAAAATTTGTGTACATGTGGAAAAAAAAGTCTTTTTAAAAACAAAAGTATTTTATTTCTTCATATATTCAGATTTCTGGTTGCTGCGAATTAAAAACTGCATGTTACTTCTATTTAGTCATGCTTCTCATTTATTATAGGGAGCATCCTTAAATAGTTGCCAGATGTAAAGTCCTGGGAAGTAAAGGCGGCCAGCATGATATTGACCACATCTCGAATCCAGTGTAAAGTGGTCTGTAAAACAGAGATCTAACCCTGTACTCCCAATATACATAAGGAGTGGAGAAGTGTCATTTAGTTACTCATTTATGATGTTTAAATAAATCTTGTTCATGTATAAATCTCATAATTACCAAATTACATCTTCAAGCCTGATTAATAATTCTTATTTTACTTAGATGTACCAAAAATGAGGAGTGAAAAGCACCAGATGGCAACAGTCGGTGAAAGAGGCAAACTGGAATGTATTGCCAACTCTATTCCTAAACCTAAATCTGTTATATGGTCAAGACGAGGGAAAGAAATCAACTATGCACTGTCTGGCCAGTTTTCCAAAGAAGATAAAGATCTGCTGTATGGAGTCAAGAGTGTCCTTCACATCAACAATGTCCAGCCTGGCGACTTTGGCATGTACAACTGTACGGTTGAGAATGAGTATGGGGTTTCTTTTGATCAAATCGAGCTTGTTGAGAAACGTAAGTAGGAGTTGATGTGCTAGTTTTCTGAAATGTTAGACCAAATACAAAAATGTTTGATGCAGCCCAGCTGAGTTGTATTGATATTGCCAAATCCACTAATTAAAATAAGTATTTTTTCTTTGTGGTACTCTAACCTAAGTCTTTTTGTGTGAGTGTGGTTATATTGCAAATTATTTGTTAGGTCAGTCCCTGATGTTACCCCCCCCCCCCCCCCCCCCCCCCCATTTTATGCAGGTCACAAATTAAGTTTTAATTGATGTATCTACATTTTTAAAAAGAATGATAATAATCATTCTTGAAATAAATAAAGACACAGAAATGGAGTAATCAGTCTTACTCCTGTTCTTAGTATTCACCAACTTTAAACTGCAGGGGAAAGTTCTTGGTTGTTCATCCCCTTCAGAACTTTAGTCTTGTTCCATAATTGTTATGTCTGGCTTACATGAATGCAGACTGTTGGTTCCTCACCATTTAGGCAGCTACACTTCAGCTGAAAGTGGGGATAATCAGTAAACATGGACAGAGTGAAGCACTGAATGGAAAACATTTCCTGGGGTCTTAAAACAAAATCTGTATCAGTGATTCATACCATGACCTCAATCAGTGAGGCTTATGGGTGAATTTTACATAAACTTGGCTTGAAAAAAGCTGCAGCAGGCACACATAGAACTATTGGAATTTAAATTAGGCTTATTGAACAGGTTACTGCAGACAGGTCATGATATCACTATTTATGGGGCTGTGTCATCGTCAGAAGTGATAGATTTAGTTTTCTCTGCACGACAGGGTTAAGTTAGGTTCTTGATTTTTTATTTAACATGTAATTTTAAATTAAACCAGTGTTGAATTGTGCTTTGTACTGTAAATTAGGCCAGTGTTGGATTATGTTCTGTATTTTAACATGGATTATGCTATTAGGATGACAATTGTAAGTTACACCGGTGTTTTATTATGTTGTGTACTGTAAGTTTGACCAATATTGGACTATACCATGTATTCCACATGCTGCGTAACCACACTAAGTTTGGTCACAGTTTTACTATGCTGTATATCCTAAGTTAGATTAAAGTTTTCTTCTTATCATTATTATATTTCATGCTATGTGGTGTTGGTAGTCATACCTATCCACAACCTCCTGTCTTGTGTACTTTCAATAAGTTTTGACACGGATGATCTTACATGCCACAAAGTCCGACTGGCATCATAGTTATACTGTGTCATATATCCTAAGGTAGGCCACTTATGAATTATTGTTCTGTGTTTTCCTGCTCAGTCCTCAACTGTCGTCATATTCATCATTATAAAGCACTTCTACCATTAAGCTTCACTGGGAGTAACAATTTGTAATTCAGTGTATGCTGGCTATTTTTCCACCGTGTAGGTGTAAAGTGTCTTTAATGTTGTCAATCCATATTTTTGGTGGCTGTCCTCTTGCTCTTGTAGCTGACCTTCTGAGAGGTAATGCTTGTGATGGTATTTGATAATGCCACATTCTAACAAGATGGCCAGACCGCTTGATATTCTGTTTCTCTGTGAATTTTCAGCTGTTGATAAATAAGACACTATAAATTTTGACAAGTACTAAATTATATAATTACAGTTTATGGTGACCATCCATGCGGCCCTAAATCCTCAGTCACATGACCCCCTGTCTACACTGCATTAAAAAATTGGTAAAACAGACAGTAGTGACAGTTTTTTTATTCATTTGATGAGAAGAAACATAGACAGCTAAAAACCAAATATCCATTTGTTAATATACTCTTAAAGTCACTCACTTTACCCCGTCTGCCAACAGATGTGCTACCAATTACATACATCATCATCGCCATCATTGGAGGCATAGCTGTGATATTTGTGACGGCTCTGATCTGTGTTCTGTACCGGCGCTGCAAGAAGGAGGACCAAGGTAGTGTTTTAGGTGAGATTATCCAGGAAGTAACAAAGTTCTCATTGGGGTCACAAAGTGAAGTAGCCAAAGAAAGTGTACAAAATAAATCCACTTCAGAAATGTTTTAGATGAGATTTTCAGTGAAAAAAAGTCTTCTTCATAAATTTGTAAGTGAGATTGTCAGTAAGCTAAAAAGTATACTTTGGAAAATGTTTAGATGAGAGGTCAGTGAACTTCACAGTTATTTTTATATAATATATTCATATCCTGATCACTTAACTCTTTGAGTCCCAGGGAACACGTCATAGGTTCATAGATTCCTACCTAGAAGCCCAATGAATGCAAGATGCGCCGATTTTACGTCTTTCTTGACTACCCCATGTCCTGTGATGCTAAACTCCCTGGGACTCAAAGAGTTAAACATTTGTGCAAGCGCAAACACAGCCATTAGCTTTAACTGTAATGTAAACATGCAGCCCTGCCGCTGTAGGAAAGTTGATTAAATGGCTTTCTCAGAGAACTGGACTCAAACAGAAGTGTTGGCTTTTTGCTCTTTTTTTAATGACAGGGTTTAAAAAATGAAAACATCTTGGTATTTAAAGTTTGATCAGAAAAAACATTATACATTGTGTTCTTCTTTGGCTTTGTGTTGGTATTACAAGGTTTAGAAAATGATCACATATTGAGATTACCTCATATGTTGAGATGACTTCACTAGAAAAAGTCTGAATATCTGATAGCTTCTCATACTATGGATGACTGTTCTGCAGTAAATTCAAGGTCAAACACTTGACATTGTGGAAGGCAAGTAAAATAGAATCAAGAAAAGAAGCAATTTTTCACTGCAGCAGCAATCATATGAAAACAAAACAAAATGTGGAATGAAAAAGAAAATAACAACATTAAATAAAGAGATGGACTGAAGTGTAATTACAAGGAAACATTAGAAACATAAAAATACTTTTAACATGAGTAATGTAGAGGTTTGAAAAGATATCAGTACACAAATGAAACACTGTAAATATCACAAGACATGTAATAATATGTATTCCATATTTTATTTTTTTCATTGTAAAAAGTTGTTAAATTATTAGTTCAATGTATTACTCAATGTGAATTTAAATAATGACAAACAATACATGGCATGATGTATTGCCTGAGGTACACAATGTATTGCCTAGATACACGATGTATCGCCTGAGATACATGATGTATTGCCTATATACACAATGTATTGCCTGAGATACATTATGTATTGCCTAGATATACAATGTATTGCCTGAGATACATGATGTATTGCCTAGATACACAATGTATCACCTGGGATACACAATGTATTGCCTGAGATACATGATGTATTGCCTGAGATACATGATGTATTGCCTGAGGTACACAATCTATTGCTTGGGAATACACGATGTATTGCCTGAGATACACGATGTATTGGCTGAGATATACGACATATTGCTTGAGGTACACGATGTATTGCTTGAGATACACGATGTATTGGCTGAGATATATGACATATTGCTTGAGGTACACGATGTATTGCCTGAGATAGACGATGTATTGGCTGAGATATGCGACGTATTGCTTGAGGTACACGATGTATTGCTTGAGATACATGGTGTATTGCCTGAGTTACACAGTGTACTGCCTGAGATACACAATATATTGGCTGAGATACATGATGTATCGTTTAGATACACAATGTATTGCCTGAAATACACAATGTATTGGCTGAGATACATGATGTATTGCCCGAGATATTTTGCTGTATTTCATGAAATTAGGAGTGGAATGAGCAGTCCACCTATAGGACATCATTAGCTAGACACTAAACATTTTAATAATAAGGAAAATACCTTCCTTGTAATTTACCCACACAGTAAAAAGGCATTTATTGAAACTGACAAAAGCTGTGGCACTCAGGTTGGGCAATCCCATGTTATGTAAACATGGTTAATCTTAGAGTTCCATGATAAGAAATATAGTGTTTCATGCAACAACATGATTTCTATTTTTCAGTCAAAAGGTTATATTTTAGCAAAGCAGACACAAACAACAGTTTGCACAATTTATTGCCTGGCATATTTAGCTGTATCTCATCAGGTGCAACCTACAGTAACAATTGATTAACATGAAGCAAGTAAATGAATACTTCGAAATGAAACACAAAATCGACTACATTCACAAACTGTTTCACCAGGGTAAATGCAAAGTGAAGAGTATGCCTTTCTGGCTGCATTAATCTGGATTAATCAAAGCTACCACAAACTTCAATAATCTATTGTTGGCTTAAGTTAAAATAATTTAAAATACATCATCCTTGTTTACAGTGTGTCCATAATTTAGAATATTGCACGCAACTGCTGATGGAGGATTTTTTCGACCAGTCACCTGATTCATTGTTGTTGGTGTTTTGCATTGCTTTTATCACAAACAGTGGGGTATGTTCAGCAACCTGTTTCTCCGGTTGTCGATCAGTTTTGCCCACATATGCAGCGTTACAGGTGCATTTACATAGCTAAATGCAATTAGATTTCTCATACGTCAACATTGGGTCTTTACTGGTGGCTTAGAAATTGCTGTTATATGTTGATTAAATCTGATGAGATTAAGCGAAATTTGCCAGGCAATAAATTGTTTTGTGTCCTAGTTACTTAAAAATTCTAGTTGTTAGGGAAATCTGGTTTTCAAGTCTAAAACTGTCATTAACATTTTAGTTACAGCATTATGCATGCAACATATTCTTTTCTTCTTCCCACCAAAATAAATCAGCCACTCCTGCCGCCACAGGTTCCTACACAGACACAGACAGTTCGTCAGATAAGAAGAGAGACAAAACAGATTCTCCCAACACTCTGATGGGTCAGCTGCGCCAGGACTACAATAAGGATGTCTACCGGTTTTCTGCTGATTATGATGATATGCCTTATAAGGTAATGTCCGTTTGCAATCTGTTGTGTTGTAGAATTGTGTGTAATGTTAGCAACCTCTTCCTCTTCTTCAGCATTCTGAGCCCTTAAGGTTCATTGCTGCGGATGTCACTCACCTCCATTCATCTCTCTGGTTGGCCCTCTCTGTCCACTTGGTGACACCAAGTGTTTGCAGGTCTGTCTGGAGATTAACTCTCTATCTTATTCTTGGTCTGCTCCATGGTCTATGACCATTTATCTCTCTTGTATTTACAGTTTTTACATCTCTGTCAACTGACATTCTTTCAATATGCCCCAACCATTTCAGTCTATTAGTTCTCATGATGCCAGTGATCAGTTGTGATTTAAACAGATTATGAATTTCATTATTGCTTCTCAATCTTCATTCCCCGCTGTTTGCATCTTTGAGTAATGTTAGCTACGAATTTAGTAATTATGCACATGCATACAAAATAACATTAAATTTCCTGTATTGTTTGTCCATCACTAGTGATGATAACTAGTTTTTTCGTCTGTGGTGGTTAATTTATGGGTATGTAGGGAACTGATAAGACCAGTCTTAGCATGGAATGTATTCAGGCAGCTTGGGCAGGAAATTAAAGCTGCAGGAGTTTGGAGATTCAGTTGACAGTTTTTTTTCTGGTTTGTCTTTTTTGAACTGTTGTTCTTGCTGCCTCGCATGCCAGCACTTCCCGGTAAAGAGATGAACAAGAAGATCAGTGAATTTCCCAGTTGTCGGGAGCAAGACCAAAAATCTTCAGTGAAGTCTTTGAACATTTAATTGGGAATGATTTTCTGCTTGTAGCTCAATGTGAAAGATTCTTTGACATAGTCTGTGGTTTAATATATGAATCATATCAACGGATTTGGGATTATTTCAGAATTACATGCATGCACACATGCTAGGACTCACAGTTTTTGTAATCAGTCACTTCAGTTTTTGTATATAGGTAACAATGCTTTAGTATTTTGGCTTTGTTGTGCACACTGAAAAAAAAAGGTTCAGACTCCAAACAACTGTTATAAAGAAAAGTAAGAGTTAACAAATATTCTGTAGATGACACACAACAGGTACAATACATGTGTTAGCTTTTTCCTTTTTAACTGCTTAAACTGTGTTTTATTGAATGACCATCCATCATCTGACCAACTCTCTAGGCATCCCCTGAAGAAGAAACTAGAGAAAACAGCACTCTTCTCTCCTGGGCCACTTGTCGCAAATGGAACCAGGTTTCATCTTCGGTCTCACAGATTTCTTCATTAACATTTCTTCATATTTTCTATCCTTTCAATATTTCGTTGAGATTCCAAGATCCCCAGTGTTGTGGGCCACCTATATTTTTATTTGTTAACTTTCTTATGCCTTTCTCTGTTTACCACCTTGAATAAGATGTTATACTTTTTCCTGTTAAATTTTTTTTTTTTTAATCAAAGCATCATTATTACTAACTGCCCTCTGGTATGTCTCCATTGTAATGTTGAAGAGGGGCTTTTGAGTTTCACTGACCCCCCAAGAAATATGCCAAAATAGTTTAGCTACTGGTAAGGTCTTCTGTGGAGGATTGGCCAAGGGAGAAAACTCAAACAAAGATGTCAACTGTATGCTGACAGCAGAGACGCAACTGGCCTGTCCCAACCACAATGAAGACAAAACTGTAGAGAAGATATGGACTGAACGTTCATAAAGGCTACTGGTCTTCTGACAGAAGGATCGAAGAAGAAGAAGAAGCAAAGTTTGATACAAACCTGCTGACTTGTAGTTCCGACACAAAACCAAAGACTAGAAGACATTTGCTGATTAAAGAATGTAGTGAAATCCTTGAGTTTTTAAATATGTGTGCTAATTATTTATCTGCCTCTACCATTTGCTGTGCATGCACCAAATATTTGTGTGTGACACCAATTAGGCTGCAACATTTGTTTCAAGAAGCCCTACCTTAGAGGATAATGAGCTTGTGATATCTCATTTGCCATTTATCTCAGATATCACACCATCGCACTTATTTCTAGGTTACTTATTTCAGATGTGTCAGCCACTTTTTTTTCTAGGTTATTGACTTTAGATATGTCAACCACTTTCTTTTCTAGGTTATTTATTTCTCATGTGTCAGCCACTTTTTTTTCTAGGTTATTTATTTCAGATGTGTCAGCCACTTTCTTTTCTAGGTTATTTATTTCAGATGTGTCAGCCACTTTCTTTTCTAGGTTATTTATTTCAGATGTGTCAGCCACTTTCTTTTCTAGGTTATTTATTTCAGATGTGTCAGCCACTTTCTTTTCTAGGTTATTTATTTCAGATGTGTCAGCCACTTTCTTTTCTAGGTTATTTATTTCAGATGTGTCAGCACTTTCTTTTCTAGGTTATTTTTTTCAGATGTGTCAGCCACTTTCTTTTCTAGGTTTTTTTTTTACTTAAGATGTGTCAGCCACTTTCTCTTCTGGGTTATTTACTTCAGATGTGTCAGCCACTTTCTTTTCTAGGTTTTTTATTTCAGATGTGTCAGCCACTTTCTTTTCTAGGTTTTTTTACTTCAGTTATGTCAGTTGCTTTCTTTTCTAGGTTATTTTCAGATGTCTCAGCCACTTTGTTTTCTATGTTATTTACTTCACATGTGTCAGCCACTTTCTTTTCTAGGTTATTTACTTCACATGTGTCAGCCACTTTCTTTTCTACTCTGCCATTGATATTTTGACTGAAGTAGGTTCCCCATATGGGTCCTGGGGTCCTATTTTGAGGGAAAGAGAAGAGCAGACACCTTCACCCCCCACCACCACATACACACAGTAAGCATGTTGTAAATGGAGACTATTTACGGGTTGGCTGAGATCAGATTATTGGGCTGTGAGGCACAGATATCACAGACTAGCTGTAAACCTCAATACAACATGCCAACTGCCTTTGTAAGGGTGAGCACAGAAGAAGCCGAGTAAATGAGAAACCCATGCTGTCATGTTTGAACCTCACACTAGTGTGTTCGTCAGCAAGTAAAGTAACCATTATATAGTCTCAGTGTATGTATTAACAGTAAATGGGTTTTTGTTTAAATGGGTTAAACATTGTGAGATGTTATCACTATAGCCCCTCTATAGGCCACAAGGAAATTCCTTGAAAGTAAAGGTAGTCACTGTGACCTTGACCCCATCATATGGCCACCAAGTGCCGAATTCTCCAGAAAAATATGGGTCTTGAACCAAATTCATGATACACCAGAGGGACCTCTACTTTACTTTACTATGTCTGTAAGACTTTACTTTACTATGTCTGTAAGACTTTACTTTACTATGTCTGTAAGACTTTACTTTACTATGTCTGTAAGACTTTACTTTACTATGTCTGTAAGACTTTACTTTACTATGTCTGTAAGACTTTACTTTACTATGTCTGTAAGACTTTAATTTACTATGTCTGTAAGACTTTACTTTACTATGTCTGTAAAACTTTACTTTACTATATCTGTAAGACTTTACTTTACTATGTCTGTAAGACTTTACTTTACTATGTCTGTAAGACTTTACTTTACTATGTCTGTAAGACTTTACCTTACTATGTCTGTAAGACTTTACTTTACTATGTCTGTAAGACTTTACTTTACTATGTCTGTAAGACTTTACTTTACTATGTCTGTAAGACTTTAATTTACTATGTCTGTAAGACTTTACTTTACTATGTCTGTAAGACTTTACTTTACTATGTCTGTAAGACTTTAATTTACTATGTCTGTAAGACTTTACTTTACTATGTCTGTAAGACTTTACTTTACTTTGTCTGTAAGACTTTACTTTACTATGTCTGTAAGACTTTAATTTACTATGTCTGTAAGACTTTACTTTACTATGTCTGTAAGACTTTACTTTATTATGTCTGTAAGACTTTACTTTACTATGTCTGTAAGCCGGTGCATGCTTTCTTAGTAAATGTATTTGCCACTTTATCCTTTCAGCACATCATTTTTGTTCATTGGACTATTCGTTAGAAAATATCTTCTCTTTCAATTATTTTTGTTTTTTAATTTGAGTGTATTTATATTTTGGATTTGCATTCTAGCAACTTGCTAAGATTTGGTCCATTCACACTGTTTCATTCTTTCAGATTTTGTTGTTTCAAAGGTTTTTAATTCTCTCAGAAATTTCCCACTTGTAACTATGTGTTTGTGTGTGTTTTTTTTTTTTTTTCTAAAGAACTTGTGTAAAACAGTTTCAGATATAGAATCCAAATAACTAACATTGCAAACCAATCCCAGCATTTGTCAGTTGTTAATACCATTGACAAAATTGGTGCAGAGCAGTTCTGCAGTCTAATTTCCCACAGCTGTAATTGAACAAGGTATCTTGGAACAAGTCATCATTGTTCACAACCTCTAAGTCACTGATGCCTAGAGAAATTAAATACAGTCATGTAACTGGCCCACTTAAATAGTCACATAATTGGCCACTTAAATGCAGTCACGTAATTGGCCCACTTAAATACAGTCACATAATTGGCCCACTTAAATACAGTCACATAATTGGCCCACTTAAATACAGTTCACATAATTGGCCCACTTAAATACAGTCACATAATTGGCCCACTTAAATAGTCACATAATTGGCCCACTTAAATACAGTCACATAATTGGCCCACTTAAATACAGTCACATAATTGGCCCACTTAAATACAGTCACATAATTGGCCCACTTAAATACAGTCACATAATTGGCCCACTTAAATAGTCACATAATTGGCCCATCTAATAACATTTCTTCTCATCAGTCAGAAGATTCTTAAAAAAGGAAGTAACACACACCATCAACTGTCATTATTCCTTTGCCATCCAAGATTGTGTGTCACACCACTTAGTGCAGCTATCAGAGGTGACCGAATTACAACTTCCCTTGAGGTTTAACAGCGTATCTAGGACAGTGGCTTTCAACCTGGGACGGTTAAATTTTACTTAATATTTTGAATTATAATTTAATCAGGCCCAAATATTTATTACTTAATGTAACAGCTTATAAAATATGTG